AATTCTTTTAAATATTGCTTATGTAGAAAACAACCTATACCAAAAGAATTCTACCATTTTTGTCTTTTAAGCATATGCTTATGGAAGAATTCCCCAATCAGTATGCCACAGTAGCTAAAGATACTGATCACTTTAGCTCCTTAATCAGCAGGGTTGAACCTGGAATGAGTTGAAGACCTGGCTGGCCACCTGTGGTGGTAAGCACCTTGTCATTTTGCTCCAGTGGACTGGGCAAATACTTTCCTATGTGTACTATGTTGTAGTAAGTTGGTGTCAATAGTTTATTTCAACATTTTTTTCATATTTTATTTATTACTTTTATTTTATGTGTATGTGTGTATGTTTTATTTTATTGCCTGCATGTAGGTAATTGCACCCATGATGTGCAATGCCCACGGAGGACAGAAGAGGCTGTCGGATCTCCTGGGACTGGAGCTAGGGACAGTTGTTAGCTGCCATGTGGGTGCTGGGATTCGAACCTGGGTCTTCTGCAAAAACAACCAGTGTTCTTAATCGCTGAGCCATCTCTCCAGCCCCCTTATCTCAACTTTTAAATGATAGCCTGCCCAGATGGAAGCAACCATTAAGATTGTCTGGACCAACCCTCATCTTAACAGACTAAGAAACTAAAGCTTGGAGAGTTGGTCTCCTACCTACTCGTACAGCTATTCACTAGTACGGCTGGAAATAGACCTCAGACTTTGGATTCCCTCTTAGCTTCTTAGCATATGATAGCAAAAATGTATCCCAGTCCTCCAGATGTCATCTTCTACTTCTGTAAGCACTGAAATCAGTGGAATGACCATTGAACTTGGTTATAATTTGAGAAGCTGTGTTTGTTGTTGAGTCCTCTTGGTAATCTTTAAGCTGACTTTCCTAGGCAAATGTGTGTGGCAAGTTAGTTATCTGGGACTGGAAACTCCAGGAGATAGTGGTGCTGGGCCAGGGGAGGAGGGGGAGTAGCACGTGGCAGCTGTGTTCAGCTGCATGTAGTTGTCTGTCATCCCTGACAGAGGCACAATTTCCTCTATTCACTTAGGTCCCATTCTCCTCCTCTCTCCCTATTTCTTCAACAGGACAAATCAGATAAGATCTTTGGTAGACTTTAATGAAGATTTAGACATTTGGAAACCCATTTCCAAGAACTGTTGTTGAATAATAATAATTTTTCAGGAAAAAATAATCTTCGGCATGAACTAAGTGAGTCCTGCTTTTAGACATGAGATGGCAGAATTGTCTGAATGTTTCTTCCAAGCTTTGGATTCTTAGATATTTCACATAAATTGTCAAAATCAACCAAGTATATATTGAATATATTGGTTTCTAGGTGGGGTTTGTTTGGTTGGTTGGTTTTAGTTTTCTTTTGTTTTTAAGATGGAATTTCACTTCACTGCCCTGGCTAGCCCCGAATTCCTGGGCTCAGTTGATCTCCTCTCTCAGCCTCCTGAGCACTGGAACTATAAGTACATGTCACAACACCCAGCTCTATCAACTGTATTTATCCTTGTCTTGAGTAAGAATTTGATCAGAGGGGACTCCCTCTCCAGACTGCTCTGTGATTTCCAAGTATGAAATGAACACAGACAGTCTGCTTAAATATACTGCTTGACTTGATCCTACCTGGATTATTAAGGATATTTAGTGTGGGCCACAGAAAAGTTATCTTCTAGTTCTTTGGCTGTCTGGAGCAGGATTTTTCACCTCACAAGCTGTGAAATGTACAGGATGCTATTTCCTATGGCATCTATTTTTTTTTTTTTTTTTGGTTTTTTTTATACAGGGTTTCCCTGTAGCCCCAGCTGGCCTAGAACTTACTATGTAGACCAGGTTGGCCTCGAACTCACAGAGATCCACCTGCCTCTGCTTCCCAAGTGCCGGGACTAAAAGCGTGTGCCATCACACCCTGCTTCCCATGATCTCTTTTAAGAGGAGATGGGTGTATGTGGCAAAGCATGAAGATTCATCCCTGTTCTCTGAGTTCAGTTTCTGGGGCTCATTGTTCTAGTGTACACCCTCTGCCTGGGTGAGGCTCTTCAGCATGGTTTGTTTGCTTAGATGTTTATAGATGGAGTCTCCCTTTTATACCTTCTCTTTTCTTTCATTTGAAGAAGTGATAGAGGAGGTAGGGGCAAAGAATTCTAGGTGGCTAGGACAGCCCAGTCATTCATTGGCAGAGTTTTGTTGGCAAGCAGAATGAAGACTCTGGACTAAATAAATGCCTTTATCCTTTTCCAGGACTGCAGGGATGATGTTGGTGGAGCTCAGAACACTGGCATGCTGGGCATCTTAGTAAAAACTGGTATGTATTTTCTCTGTATGCCATTTCAAAAATACTCATACCTATTCCCAGCACTTGGAAGGCTGATACAAGAGGATTACTATGAGTTTGGCACCAATCTGGTCTGTATAGCAGGTTCCAGGCCAAACAGGACTACGTGGTGAAACTCTGGCCCAAAACACCAGGATATTAAAGTTCAAGTTGCTAGAACAGCTTTTGTAGAAATGGCAGAGCCTCAGACACTTCAGCTCTCTACCACAGAGCGAGAAGGAAATGAGCTTTCAGGAAAAAGGCAATGCAGAATGCCATGCTGTGCAAAGCCAGATCAGGGCTAGAGGTGGTATTTCCTAGAAATGTAATTCACCATACCAGTATGGAGTAAGGGGCATGAATTGTGGTGCTTTGTGAAAATAATTCTTTGCATTTTTAAGGGGTTTTTTTGTTTGTTTTTTTGGTCTTTTTGAGACAGGGTCTCCCTGTTACCCCAGCTGTCCTGGAACTCACTATGTAGACCAGGCTGGCCTTGAACTCACAGAGATCCTCCTGCCTCTGCCTCCCAAGTGCTGGGATTAAAGGCGTGCACCACCACGTCCAGCCCATATTTAGTATTTTTATTTTATGTGTATGTGTGTATTGCTTGCATATATGTAAGTGAGCCTGTGTCATGCAATGCCCATGGAGATCAGAAGAGGGCATCGGATCCCCTGTTAGCCACCATGTGGCTGCTGGGAATTGAACCTGGGTTCTCTGCAAGAGCAGCCAATGCTCTTAACCACTGAGCCATTTCTCCAGCCCCGTGTTTGCATTTTTAAAATATACACAGAAAACATTTTTCTCATGTTTTCACTTGCTCTGTTTTGGTGACCAGAAGTTTATGGGGTTAGGGATATAGCTCAGTGGTAGAGCACGTGCATAGAATGTACAAGGCCCTGAATTTGAGCTTTGGTACCAAAAGAAAACAAAAGTTTAGGAAGTATTCCACCAAAATTAGGTTTACTTTATATGTTTCTCAAATTTATAGAAAAGGAAAGGCTTTGTTTGGGAGGATCTGGCTAATCCAGTAATATGCCATGACAACAGAGGACTGCTGAATTCCCATGTCTTGGTCTCAGCTCTGTGCTGATTTAGTTGTGTGAGATGGATCAAGGGAAGATCAAAACATAAAGTCACAGAGGTATTATTACAGGGAAAGTGACTGTGATGGGTGTGTAAGAAAATGTGCTTGCATAAAAGGTACTTTGAGTTTAGCAACAGAAACAAGAATGTCAGTGTTGAACAATGGCAGGTAGTTGGGTAACAAGCAGCTGACAAGGATCTGTATGAAGGGAGTGAAAACACATCAGCTCATGCCTAGGGCAGGGGAGCCTTCAAAACAGTAAGCACCATCACTTCCGAATTAACACAGTATCTCCTTGTACATTTCTCCATCAAAATGATAACTCCGACCCAGGAGCATTACAGCACTGTGAGGTAAGGAAAGAGGAAGCAGGCAAGAAGTCAGGAAAATGGCCCCACCCACCCTCCCCTTTCCTGCCTTTTGGAATTTATCACCATGTCTTTGAGGGAATCCTCAGATAACTACTTTTGGTTTTTGGCTGTTATTCCATGAATGTTTCCAACTAAGGATTTACACCAACCACCAAAACTGGACCTGTATGATGTTCCTATTGGCCCATCCCCTGACCTGCTCTGCTTTCTTTATGTCTAGCTGTTGATTGTCACTAGCCTAGCCTGTCTCAGAGGCAGCAAGTTTGTCCTAAAGAAGCCACCACTACAACATTTAATTAGTAAAGCAGTTAAGCGCCTCTTTTGAGAACAGGTCCATTATTACTGCTTATCTGTGGTAGAAAAATCAAGAGGAAGCTATTGTTCTAAAGCATGCTCTGTTGCCAGCTCTGTTGGTAACTTTCAATAGAGTCCAGGGGACAAACACTAGGCTTCCCAGCATTTAAGATACTAGAAACATTTGACTTTACTTTTAGTAATGAGTTTTTTCAGGTTATTTTTGTTTGTTTGTTTGGGGGGGGGCTGTTTGTTGTTGTTTTTGGTCTTTTTGAGACAGGGTCTCCCTCCCTATAACCCCAGGTAGCCTGGAACTCACTATGTAGACCAGGCCAGCCTCAATCTCAGAGATCTGCCTGACTCTGCCTCCCAAATGCTGGGATTAAATAAGAACTTTTTGTGGACTATCTTGAGCATTTTCACTTCTCAGTGGTAGCATATAGTCGATGTTCAGTGTCCATCTGCTCAGCTATTTGTTAATAGACTTTTGACTTGTTCTAATCAGAATTTATTTCTGTTTAGCATGTGAAATTGTCATCTAGAAAACAGTGAGATTGCTCTTCACCTTACAGTCTCATAGTTTCTTCACTCTCCCTCTCTTCATCCTGTACTGACCCAGGGAGGCACCAGCTTCTGCAGTGAGCTGGGCAGAGGTACAGCCTGCTTCATTCATTCAGCCAACATTATTGAACACCTACTTTGTGCCAGACACGGTGCTGTTAACAACAACTAGACATATACTTAATCCACTGTGTCATTTGAGCCTTGTAGAAACTAACTAATTAGACTAAGCAGAGCATTCTAGAAGTCCTTGACTCTGTGGCTTAGACACTTGTTTGCCCCTTAGAGCACTGGCTCTACAAAGCAGGTGGCAATAGTCAGTCACTGACATGTCAAGCAGAAACCTTGCCTACGAGTTTACTCTTATTGGTCTTCAGGTTCCGTAAAATTCCCTAAATTGACCACTCGGACACTGAGTCTCAGTAAAAAGGAGCACTTTATTGGAGCCAACCGGTTGGGGACACAGAGTCTCAGGAGCTGTACTGTGACCCTGAGCAGTGAAAACACAGGGCTTTTAAGCAGAAAAACCACAAAGCAGGGGATGTCCATAGAAACTATACACAGAATAACCAGGAAAGGATTGAAACAATCTGGGGCTGATTTCCAGAGACTTTACCTATACAGCCATAGGCTGTCTTACCTGGGGCAGAAGTTCTTTCTCTTCTGCCCAAGATTATTCCCATAGAAACCATACACAGATGTATCAGGTATACTACGATTGGCTAGTTTACCTGGGGCAGAACGTTCTATCTCTTCTGCCCCAGACCATTTCCATAGAAATCATAAACAGATACCAGGAAAGGGTTTGAACAATGGAGGGGATTTCCAAAGTCAGGTGGAGGGCAGCTTTTTCTCAGAGGATAGGGAGGGGTTATGAGGGGCACTCTCCTTCACTGGTATTTAAGTTTAAGAAAAAAAGTTGGTAGTAGAGTTTGCTGTGAGGATAGGTGCCCCCAAGGACATCAGGGTGCACGAGGTGTGTGTCAGTGACCTCCAGACTTCTGATGCTGACTCCTTCACTGGAAACCCTGGCCAGTAGGACAGGACAAGAATGATCTTCTGAAAGAAGGAAATGTAGAAAGCAGTGGATCTGTTTTGTTAGGAAAGCTGAATCTAAGCAGAGAAGACCAGAGAAAGCAAAAGAATAAATAGCAGAGATCACAGGAGATGAGCAAAAGGAAACGCACAGTGTAGAAGCAGCCCCAGGACCACCAGCAAACAGCCTCCTTCCCTTGCACCTAGGATGGAGCTACACTTATATCCTCTTTCCTTTTTCCTCCTCTTCGCCATCTCTTCTCTCCTTCTAGTCTTTTAAAAAAATATTTAGAAAATGCTTGCCATGTGCCAGTCAGAATATTGGGTGCTGGGAATCCATTGGAGTGTATAACAGATACAATCCCTGCACCCAGAGAACTTACAGTCTTCCTAGCCATGAGTCAGATATTAAACAATTGGGTAGACATAAGTCATCATAAACATTGTGGAGACAGCTAAAAGAGTGCTAGGACAGAGGGAAAACTCTTTCAAAAGGCACTGAGCCCAGTAAGGGTGATGAAACAAAGACCATGATGCATCTTTACATTTGTAAAAGCCCTCCATGGTCCCCGTGTGGACTGATTCCTCTTTAGGCTGGAGCTGGAAGATCAACTGTATGCCAGACCCAGGAATTCCAGAGTCAGGAGAGTCAGGCAGCAGGCCTGCCAATTGGCACCTAGTATGCAGGGTGTCCTGCTTGCCCTAGGCTGTGAGCTAGCATCCATCTCTCTTTCCCTCTTGGCTTGGGGTGGTTTGTTTACCAAGCTCCCAGGGTTCCTGCTGGCAACAGCATGTGCTGTTTCCAGTCATACCCTGGAGCTGTAGAGATTTCTGCCCTCTGGCATCTGGGCTTCCGTTTAAAAAAGCATTGACGGGGCTGAAGAGATGGCTCAGAAGTTAAGAGCACTGGCTGCTCTTGCAGAGGACCAGGATTTGATTCCTAGTACCCACATGGCAGCTAACAACCATCAGTAACTCTGGTTCCAGGGGATCCAGCGCCCTCTTATGGCCTTCTTGGGCATTGTACACAATAAGGTGCTCTTACATAATATAGACAAAACACTCATACACATAAAATAAAAATAAATAAAAAGCATTGATTTGAACCAACAGTCCATCTTTAGAACTGAAGGAGGGGTATAAAATGATTCCATGATTTGAAGGAACGCTTAACTGTGAGATGACCAAGTACCTGGAGCTGTCCATCATGAAAGACCAGAGGACTCGGGGAAAGTGGTAAGCAAGACATTTCTTTGAATTGCCTGCTTGCATCCTGAAGCTTCTATGGAAGGTACTTTGGGAGAGGTGGAACTCATGATTCTCTGGTGACTGTAGAGCCCAGTGCCAGCCAGGGTGCTCCTGGGTGTGTTGAATTTAGCGTTCTGGCTGTAGCCTTTGTTCACTGGCTTTACTTTTATTTCAGGGAAATACCGAGCAGCAGATGAAGAAAAAATTAATCCACCTCCCTACTTAACTTGTGAGAGCTTCCCTCACGCTGTTGACCACATTCTGCAGCATCTACTGTGAACTGGCATTGGATGTGAAGCAACTTGAAATGCAGCTTCCATTGTCTGTACTGGATTCCTTACTAACTCAGTGGCATCAGTAGACAGCACCATTCAGTGCTGATCCTGCTTAACCTTCTTCTATTATGCATTAATTAGAAAAAAAGGTATTGAATTACAGCCAGCACTGAACCTTGCTAATCTCTTTTGTTTTATTTTGTAAAAGAAGATGGGACCTGAAGAAAGGGAGAGCTGAGATTTCGTGCCATTCCTTTTAAAATATTCATCAGGTTTGCTGGGCTGGGAGGGAGAAGCTCCTGTGGGAATAGCGTTCTCTGCTGTCTCCTCACTGGAAATGAGAGCAGGACTGTCTGTGAATAAAGGTGAATGGTGGTTTGTAAATTATACAGAGATGCATTGAAAGGTGCATTAGGCTGTCATTTTGATACGGAGTTCAACTGTGAAAGCCAGCAGAAGAGCCAAGAGGAGTACAGGACAGAGCAGCAAAACGAATTGTCCTTCAGCTCGAGTGATCCAGAGAAGCTGCTTTAACAGATGTTGAAAACTAGATTTTCTACTATATTCCCAGCACAGATGACTTCTTTTTCTCTTCATTAGCCAGAGATGACTAATTTAAATTTAGAACCCGATTTTAATTTAAAATAATATTTCCATTAATAACCTATTCATTGCAGATACCTATTACACTGTGTAACAGTTGTTTGGGAAATTTTATGTAAAATTAAAACTATCAGTATTTTACAGATGTTTTAATTAGACATTGTTATTAACAGGAACAGTGCAGAGACTAAAATCAAGCCTTTAACGTCTTACAGACCTTGCGCTTTTGAAGTTAGTGTCCACTGGGGACCTAGTAACTGTACATTTGCAAGATTTCATTATTTTTTGCCTCTGACACTATGGGAGAAATCTTTTAGAAACTATTGGGACAGATTCAAGCTTTTATGTACTTGCTTGCTACAGTTGTAAAATGAGATCTCCTCTCGTAGCATGGATTATTCTTCTTATGTTAGACCTGCCCAAAGGAAGGGGACTGAGTAGGTAATGATTTTCCTAGTACATTTGCATACTGTGATAATCCTAGACCGTGGCAATTGTTTTACAGGGCTCTTGGGCATTGAATTATTAGAATGTAATTGTACATCATTGTAGTTCACCTTATTGAGGCATACACTGATGTTAATGAGCTCCAGGTTTTGATGCTTGTTTAGAGATCAGCTCAGTATTGGATGAAAGGGAACAAAGCTAAATAAATGGTAGTTGGGTGTACTGTTTTTTGCAAATGTTCCAACATTGCACTTATACAAATGACAGATTTGACATGACTGCCACACCCAGTCAGAATGAAGTGTAGAATGGCTGAGGGCTGAGCTGCTAGTGCCTAGTGAGCTCAAGCCCAGCCTAAGTAAGTCACCTTGCCCCTTCCCACACCGTATTGTTGTGAGCATCAAATGCATGAGCCCCATATTAAGTACTTAGACTAGATGACCTGAAAAGGACTGTCTTGATGAGAATTCATCCTGAGGATTAGAAGACATGGTGCTGCATTTAGACCCCAGGAAAGAGCTGCAAGTAGGGAAGCTCAGTGAGCAGGAAAGAAGCATTGCCTGGTACCTGGGAAGGGGCCACGTTCGTCTGTGGCCTGTGACTTGGGTACTAAGGTCAGTGGTTCCTTGCTCAGGAATTAGCAAATAGTTTGCTGGCTGCTACTCACTAACTTCTGTGCTGGCCCTGATTCATGTGGGAAATAAATAAGCATAGAAGAAAAGGGTTTTACCCTAAGGGCCTTCTAGTGGAGGAGTTGAGGAGACAATACTGAAGATCACTAGGAAGATGACTTCCAGGCCCCCTCTGATGATGCCAGCCCCACCAGCAGGATGGAACAAAGTATCATGGCCTTCTGCCCAGGTGGCCCTTGTTGCATTGTACTCAGGCCTCCCTCCACATCTCACTGGACAGGACTGAGTTTAATTCTTTTATGCCTACTGCAAAACAGGCAACTGAACCAATAAAAATGAACCAAATATTACAGGAATTCAATGCTAGAAGGCACAAGTGTGGATGGGGAGGAAGGAAAAAAAAACATTTCAATTTCAGGGTTGCCTTATAGATGCCTGAAGGGAAAACTCATTAGACACTTGGAAATAATGGAGCTGATGCTCTGGAGACGAAAAAAAGCTACAGCAAAGAAGTGTCGTGATGGGTCAGGGTGTAACCTTCACAGGAGTGAGTAGGACCTCAGCAGTGAGCCCCTAGAGAAGCAGCTTCTCGTTTCAGACTGTCGGTGAGGGCCGGGCAATCTTAGTCTCAGGTATTTACTTAACACACTTTGTGCACGTTAGGGCTTGCTAACTGGCCTGTCCACAGGGAGGTCCATGAGGATAACTGAAAACCTTGTCTTAGGCTTCTGTAAACACTCCAGTAAGTGGTCTTGTTGGCTGCTTGGCCTTGGCCTTATGGAGGAAATGTAACTGACAAGTCTAAGGGGGGGGGTCTTTTTCTGTTGCTATGATAAAATGTCCTGATAAAAACAACTTCATTGAGAAAGTGTTTATTTTAGCTCAAGTTCAAGGTACAATCCATCATGGCAACCCAGTCCCTGCAGCAGCCTGAAGTCCTGTTACCCCCTACTCACAACCCTTTTCTCCATTTCATACAGTCCAGGATCCCAGCCAGGAAAAGGGGCCACCCATAGTGGACCAGTCTTCCCAGGGCAACAAAATCAAGATAATCCCCCCACCCAGGCTACCCCGAATGATTCTAGATTAAGTTGCCAACACTAACCATCATACAGGCCATCCCATAAAACATGTTGTATTGGTTTGATAAACTGTCCATATCAGTTTTACAAAAATCTCCTGGGCCAGAAAAAGGATTAAATGACACTTTGGGACTGGGAAGTTTAGAGGACACCGTTGTCAATGGCATGTACTGAGCAATGACCTCACTGTGTGGCACAGCACAGAGATAATTGTGGCAGATGACATTTCTATCACTTCCTGATCCCCCTCACATCTGCAGTCTGGTTGCCGCTCTACCTTCCTGCCACAACGCATCTATCAGAGCTGATTACAATGGCAGGGCAGGCAAAGGGACTATGCCACTATGATAGTGCCACCACATTTTGCCTCCAGCTGTGATGTCAGGTATTCCCTTGGAATGATAGTGCTGTCATTTCACCCTTAATCCCACACTTAAAACTCTAGTAGCTTGTTGGGCAGGGAAGCTGGAAACACCGATATTTATCGTGTTCAGTTAGCTTTGGATCAGTGGTTCCTATAACGTGAACTAACGTCCTTGGGCACCTATAATAAAGAATTTTTAAAACTGCATTAATCTATTTGACCAAAACACTCTGTTCTGAGTGGCAGAGTAAATCCCCTTTTCATTTTATAGTCATTTGTGTGGAGCCATGTTAACATTATCACGTTTATTTGGCATAAATCTCAAAGGCCCTTTTCTGCATTAACACGTGGGCTTTGCTGGCTTTTTTATGATATCAGCCATCGAGACCTACTAGTGAAAGCATGTTACTGTCTTTAAGGGGCAGCAGTGAGGCACCAGAGTGAATACCGTAAGAACCGCGCAGGTCGCTGACAGTTGAGTGTCTTCCAGTGCTTCCTTTCAAGTCATCTACATCAGAGAACGGTTTCTCTGATGTGCCTGAGAAAATTCCATTTATTAAATGATTACTGTGGCTAAAGCATAAGGACAGCAGGTGCAGTTCTGTCCCCTAAAATGGGTACCTTAGGATGGGAGAACTGAAATATATATATTTAGCTAACAATACCAAGGGCTCCTTCAAGTTCAAAGCAATCGTAGATGTTTTTAAAGGGATGAGATAATGTACTGTGAGCGAAATGCTAGGGACCAGTAGTCATAACTTTGGGGGGTCAGGTAGCCTTTGGCCTATACCGTTTTAAAGAACCTTCCATTTAGTAGCAATGAAAGAAGTACCTCAAATCATGGCGCTTCTGCTTGAGGAGGATGAGCAGGCAATCAAACACACAACTACCTAATACAGTGAGAGTGATGGTAAGTGATGAAGAAGGCAGCCGAAAAAAGTAAAGCTGGGGGGTAGGAGACATGGCTCAGCAGTTCAGAGCACTTGTTCTTGGCAGAGGGCTTGAGTTCAGGTCCCAGTACCTACAGTGGCTCACAACCACTAACTCTAGTTCCAAGGGATCCAATGCCCTCTTTTGGCCTCCACAGGCACTGGGTGCATGGATGCACTTATATACATGCAGGCTAAACACTCATAAATAAAAATTAAAATGTACTAAAAAGATAAAGCTGGGATTACTGGAGGTAAGTATGGTCTGTCAGATAGGCTTCTACAGTATGTGCATGCCACGGGAACACACTCATGTTGTCTATATCCAGCAGACTATACTCGTGGCAGCAAGTTTCTTGCTCCCATAAGCATTTCAGTTGTAACCTCTGCTTTAAAACGAAACAAAACAAAAAACACATGTTGGGTTAGGTTAGATTTTATGCCAACTACTAACAGATCAACCTCCCATATAAATTTATTTTTAATCTACTTTAAAAAATGCATGTGTGTTTGCGTGTGTGCGTGTATGTGTGTTTAGGTGTGTGAATGTCTGTGCACATATGTTCCAGAGGCCAGTGTCATCCTCAGAAAGGCCATTCATCTCCTTTGAGGCAGGGTCTCTCATTGGCCTGGAGCTTACAGTCTGGCCAGTGAGCCCCAGGAATCATCCTGCCTCTGCTGCCTCCAATACCTCCCCAGCAATGGGATTATAAGAAAGCATCACCACACCTCATCTTCATATTTGCAGGACAAGCACTTACCCAAGTGACATATCTCCCCAACCCCTTAATCTAAGATAAGGACTCTACTTTTAAAAATAATTATAGACCCTCTCTAAGGCTCAAGAAACATCATGGAAGGGGGCAGAAATAACATAAGAGCTGGATGATAGGGAGACGTACTGTTCAACATCTTCTGGGATGGCAATCATGAACTCAAAGCAGCTGCAGATATTTGCACAGAGCCTGTACAACACTGGGCCTGTCAACAGTCAGTCATGGATCAGGGGGGAGGAGCTCATGGGCCACTACCCCTCTGTGGGGAACTATTAGTTATTGGTAGATATTAGGGGAGGAGTAGTCATCATCTTCAGTTGTATATGCACTGGTGAGTCCTCTGACCTTGGTCAAACTCAATGAGTCACAAAGAAAAAGACAGGAGCATGGGAAAGGGACTTAGGGGGGTGGCGGTGGGAATGGAAGGGAGGTAAGAAAGGGTAGGGAGTGAGAGTACTCAGAATGTATTATATACATGTGTGAAATTATCAAAGGATAATTTTAATTAATTAAAAATAACAAATAGGGGACTAGAGAGATGGCTCAGAGATTAAAAGCACTTGCTGCTCTTCCAGAGAACTTGAGTTTTGTTCCTAGCACCCAAGATGGGCAGCTCACAACTGCCTATAACTCCAGCTTCAGGGGACCCAAGGGATCCAAAATCCTCTTCTGGTCTCTGCAGGCACCTGCACACAAATGGCTTACACTCACTAAGACACATAAATGAAAAATATAAATAATAAATACAGAAATTCTATAATAGATTCAGGTACTAGCTGGTCTCCTTTTCTCAAACCCCATTTAATAAGGAAGTTAGAAACCTATAAGGTCAACCAGTAAGAGACTATGGATGAAAAGATGTCATAATTTGGAAGATGGAAAGTAGATGAAGTGATAATAACTATAATGAGCACAAAGAAAATATATCCAGAATTCATCCTGCAGAACAGCCTCAAAGATGGATTTTGGAAACACCACGTGGAGACAAATGACATGTGGGCAGGGCTGAAAAGTGAGGAATTGTTTGAAAGTTGGTTAACAGACTAGTTGGAGTCCAGAAGCCCTAAGAAGCCAGATGACCACTTCTTTGAGGAGGAGAATGGAGGTTTTCCTTTATTCTCTGGGAAAGTGTATAAGGTTAAGGCCTTGGGGATAGTAGGCATGGTGGCATAACAGAGGTCATGGCGGTCAGCCACAGTTGCAGGACTGAAAATTGGGATTTAGGTACAAACCTTGTTCTCCAGTGGCTCATGGTCCCCTCTCCATGGAATACCAGGATCAGAAGGAGGAGGGAGATAACAGAGATTACATGGGCCATACCGAAAAGAATGTTAATGGGGATCTGACAATTTGAGAATGTATCGCAAGAAAAAGGACAAAAGTAGATACTCAGAAAATCCTTTTGTTCAAAATGAAGACAGCAGTTCACAAATGAGGAACACCACAGGAACCCATTCTTCAAAACTGTATATTCTAATTATGAGAAAAATTTCCATTGCCTGACCTCATAGCATATATGCTTGTAACTGAAATCTACACTCTGCTGGCATTGATGATGTACAAATCTCCTGTTTCCCAAATAATACAGTTGTCCAAATTAATCCAGCATCCAAGCATAATTTTCTCTCTTCCATCCAAGTCACAGTGTTCTTCTCCCACTTTTACTAATAACTTCACAGGCCTCTGCAGCTGCCTCTGGCTAGGTGAGGCTGAGTGTGGTTTTAAACAGACTCGAACTCCTTTTGCCAGGCTGAGTATCTCTGAGTCAGATTCTTTGCTGAAGGCTTGGTGTGAGCCAGCACATCCAGAAAGTCAGCCGTGGTCACAGTGTCCAGCTGCATCCCAGGTAAATTGCTGCTCTCTAAGTAAAAAGTATCAGTCAGAGCATAGCATCCACCATGTGGTGATCAGTGCTCTTGAGAGGATAACAGACCTCTCAAAACACCATGTAATGAGGCATTCTTAATTGTTAATGTAACCCAAAGGCACGACAGAAGGGGGTTGTGGAAGAAATTTTTAATGTGCAACTGAGCACTTGGAATCCAGACACCCTTGTCCAAAAGTGACTTAAATATATTGTTATCAAAGTATTATTTAATATTTATATAGCACCTCAAATGAATCTGCCCCACATCAGTGTGTGCCAGAAAAATAAAAGCCCACTCTAAGGAGTGGCAATGTGAATCTTGTACTAAAGGAGGAATGGGTTGACCTGGGGAATGGATGATCTGACCAAAGCCTGCAAGTATAAAAGTCATGGAGCCCAGAAAACCAGGCACTAGGCTCCATCTGCTGGTGACAATGGGTGGGATTTCTTCCAGCAAGACCCCACCCCACCCCAGTTTCCCCTCTGTACCTGGGAGTAAACTCAGAGTTTGAAGCATGCTAGGTAAGTGCTCTTCCACTGAGTTATATATACTAACTTTCCATTATTTTCATTTTGAGACAGGGTCTTGCTAAGTGGCCCAGGCTAGCCTTGAGCCCACTGTATAACCCAAGTTGACCTTGAACTTGCCTTAGCCACTGAGTAGCTGGGATTACAGGCATGTACCACCAACCCATCTGGGAGTTAGGATATTTAGACACAGACTTATCTCCCAACCATACCTGATTGGTGATTTTCAAGCACACTAAAGATCTTCCTCACAGGTCGCATGGCTGCCTCCCTGCAGACTAGTTTAATATCTGAGCCTGAGTAGCCCTCTGTCTCCTAAAATAGAGGCAAATTCAGTCAGTAGTCAGTAGGAGCAATGCTGGTGGCGGGCTTGGCTCTGCATTCTTACAGGCAGAATGCAGTATCACCCCTTACATTGTACCAAAATTCCCAGGTAAGTAATGCTGGAGGGAGAGAAGATACAAACAAGTCTGGCTAGCCTAGATATCTGGGTAATAGCTTCTTCACACCATCCAAATATGTTGTAAGATGCCTGTGGAGGACTGGATAACTCAAAGTAGCCCAATGGGGTCCCTGCCTTAAGTTCAAAATGGTCAAATTTGGGTGATACTTTGTTCTTGTATTAAGTGAGATCACTCCTGTTTTTGAGAGACTTCAGAGAACATTAAGTGTCTACCCAAAGCAGGTAATATATTTATGATATCATGGGAACAGAAGCTGGTGATGATGACAGTTAATAGACATGTACCTTAAGCTTTACTGTTTGTAGAAGATTCAATAATCACAATAATCTTGTGTGACTTCTCTGCTACCCGTTACAAATGGAGAAACCAAGGCACAGAGAGTAATTGATATTCCTGAGCCCCCACAGCTAACACGCTGCAGGACCAGGATTTAACATAGGTTCTCCATATCCAAATCTTGTGCTATTTCCTGAAGCTCCCACTTTTCTGCTCAAATGTTTCCTAGTGACCATGAGCCCATTCTTTCACAGGAAGGTCCTTTATTGCACTGCTGGGAAGCTTGGAGCTTTTTTATTAGAATTATATTTATTTTATGTGTATAAAGTATATTGCCTGCATGTATGTAAGTGCACTTGTGTGTTGTAATTGCCTGGGGAGGTCAGAAGAGGGCATCAGATTCCCCTGGAACTGGAGTTACAGATGGTTGTTAGCCAACCTGTGGATTCTGGAATCAAACCCAGGTCCTCTACAAGAGCGGCCAGTGCTCTTAACCACTGACCCATCTCTCCAACCCAGCTTGGAGGTTTTCTAAATGTCTCAAGGAAGTGGTGCCTTACAAACCCCTGTCTTAGACTATTGTGTGCTGAACATGTGGCCCAAACATGGCTCCCTCCAGGGCTGCCCACCTGGCTCAGCATACTGTACTCCAGCTCTGTGTGAAGCTCCAGGGCATGGCTCTTGCTTACAGGGGGCAGCCAGTGGTGGATCATGGCCTGCCTGGCCTCTTGACTGGGGAGATCAACTAGAATCCTCTTCTCCAATCGCCGTAACATAGCACAGTCCAGCTCCCTGAAATCATGAGAAAACAGGAAGTAGATGGAGCAGTAAACACAGCACTTAAACAATAACCATATTTTAAGTACAATTGAGTATTACAGGAAGCAATTCTGTGTTTTAATTTCACTGTACATCTATGTCTGAGTGGACAGGGTAATTACTTCACATTGTTTGGAGAAAGAATTGATGAAAGAAATAAAAAAGGAAAAGAAAGAAAGATGCAGAGAATTGGTGAAAGAAGAGACGACGTGGTGGTGCATGCCTTTAATCCCAGCACTCGCGAGGCAGAGACAGGAGGATCTCTGAGTTCAAGGCCAGCCTGGTCTACATAGTGAGTTCCAGGACAGCTGGGGCTACAGGGAGACTCTGTCTCAAAAAGACCAAAAAAAAAAAAAGAGAGAGAGAGAGAGAGACAAGAAAGAAAGACAGGAAGAAGGGAGGGAGAGAAGAAAGAGAAAAGACAGGAAGCAGGGCTGGAAGATGGCTCAGCCATTAAGAGGAACTGGCTGCTCCTGCAGAAGATTCAGGTTCAATTCCCAGCACCCACATGTTATGTGGCAGCTAACAACCATCCATAACTCCAGTTCCAATAGAATCTGATGCCCTCTTCTGTCCTCCACAGGCATTGCACATCATGGGTACACCTATACACATGCAGGCAATACACTCATACACATAAAATTAAAAAGTAGTAATAATAATAATTTTTAATTTTAAAAAAGAAAAGGAGGGAAAGAGCAAAGGAAGAAAAAGAAGAAAGCAACACTCCTCATGTAAAGGAGGTCCTTAATTGAGGTGACAATGGGCAGGGTACAACTAACACCATCTAAACATATGAGTATCTCATTGCAATTCTAACATGAATTACCGAATCTGATCTTGCCAGTGAGTAAGCTATCAACTCTTCCAAAACCCATCCCTTCTTGTAGTGAATAACCTTTCCACACCATTGGTCTGGTGAAGTCAGCACCAACACCCTCTTTCCTAGGTGCCCAGTGCCAATGTGAACTCAGCACCAACACCTTTCCTAGGTTTCCAGTGCCAACGTGGCCTCATAAAAGACTCCTCCCTGCTTCTATCAGGCCAGGTTTAGCAGTTTCACACTTGGAGGCCATTTCCTTAAACCTCATCCTGTGAAAATTTTAAGGAAATAGAAAAGTAGAATAAAACAATGAATATCCCCACACCCGCCATCTTGACTAAGCAACAGGTAATACTTTGACACACTGAACTCGTGTAGCTTTCCATCTATTCTTACTAAGCTTTTTCAAAAAAAAAAATGGCATCATAAATTCCTCCCCTAAATTCCTTAGCATGTATTTTTTAAGATTTGTTTTATTTTTATTTTATGTGCATGTGTGTGTCCCCTTATGTGTAAATAAATGCATATGTGCATGCCAGTGGCAAGAGGGCATCAGATCCCCTTGGAACTGGAGTTACAGGTGGTTGTGGCCTGATGAAGGTGCTGGGAGCCAAACTCTGGTCATCTGGAAGAAAAGTACACACTCTTCAACAACTGAACCATCTCTCCAGCCTCAGAGACGTTTTCTTTCATTATAATGTTGTTATGCCACCTGGCAAAACTGAGACTCTAACATGTCCAAAGCTTAGCCCATATTCAAAGTTTTCCAGTCATTCCAGAAATATCTTTTAAAGATTTTTTTCCAACCTAAATCCAATGAACATGTATTATAAATGGTCATGCCTCCAAAATTTGTGTTACTTGAAACCAACCTCTTTTTAAAAACGTCGGAGTCAGCCAGGTATGGTGACACACACCTTTAATCCAAGCACTCGAAGGCAGAGGCAGGCAGATCTTTATGAGTTCAAGGCCAGCCTGGTTTACATAGCTCCAGGCCAGCTGAGGCTACAAGAGAGACCCTGTCTCAAAAAGGCAAAAAAAAAAAAAAAAAGGTCAGAGTCAGGTGTAAAATGTCTCACATTCCAGATTCATTTGATGTTTTTCATGTGCTATCACAGAAAGGGTTCCTCAGTCACCTGTCTCCAAGATGGAGTTAGAACTCAAAGCTCTGATTTGGGGTAAACATGCCAAGTCTGTTTCTTAGGCAATAAGTTTCTGTATTGTATCACATAGATATTCGTAAGTCTATATGTCTCACTAATAGTAATGCAGTGTTCATCACTAACATCACTGGATGACTATGGAATGCTCCATTGTAAAGAACACATCTTCTAGCAAGCATTAAGCATTCTATGCACAAGACTAACAGCACACAGATACCCAGTTCCCATTCTCTTTCAGCTAGTAGTTTTAGCATCTGATAGTGAATGACCTTCATTGAAGGAATTATTTCATGCAAGCTTTCAAATGATGGTTTAAATACTTTTTTGCATTCTGGATGTTTTACTCGGGATTGTTATTGAATTATATGGGACTATTATATAGAGTTTTTCTTCATCAACTGGGGTTACTTGGTCACCATTTCTATTATTGATAGTTCATTTTGAGTGTAAATCTGTGAACTTTTCATCTATTAAGTTTCCAAACTCTTAAAAGGACAGAGGATTTGTTTGATTTTCTCGAACAGAAATTAGGGAACGCCTGTGTGTTCATCCACCTTAACCACTGATTAAGAGTAACAGCAAAGCTGGGGTCGGGGGTTCACAACTGTAATTCCAGCACTTAAGAGGCTGAAGCAGGAATACTGAGGACTGGGGGGAGGAAGAGCAAGAGGAGGATAAGGAAGGGGAGGAGGAGGAAAAGAGGAAGAGAGGATGGAGGGGAGGAAGGGGAGAGGAAGAGGTTGAGGAAGAGGGAAAAAAAGGAACCATTCTTTCAAATGAGCATATTTGAATCCTAAATCAGAGTAAGCAGATTGCTTGAGAGCATGTCTTATGTCTTAGCTGGTGCGTTGGTGCAAGTCTATAATCCCTGCACTCCTCAGGAGGTGAAAGAAGGAGGATCAGAAGTTCAAGACTATAGAGCTGGCTCAAGGGCAGCCTGAGCTACATGAGACCCTATCTTTAAAAAAAAAATCTTTTCTTCACTTATCCCTCCAGCCCTGGGGTGAGAATCCACAGTCCAGCAACAACAGTTACCTCTTTCTGTTTGTTTGCTTGCTTTTCATTTTCTTTGTTTTCTACCAGCCTCACCCTGTGGAAATTCATGTCACATCAGAGACTTAGTCACTCTTCCCTTGCAAAATGATTCCCTCTCTCAAGGTCATCACTCACATGCAAAGCATAGGGTAGAGGATAAGAAACTGCTTCACAGCAGAACTTTACCTCGTGCTCCAATTCATGATGTATTCACTTTGCTTCAAATGGCTTCCTTCTTGTTCACACACTCAGTGGAGATGTGCAGCCAATGGACACCAGGGATGCCATCACTTTGGACTGGTCAGTGCCCTACCACACCAGTTCTTCAATATTTTGGGTATCACCACTATACTTAAGCAACAGATTTATCCTTCAAACCCAATGATGCTCCAATAGCAAGCCATCTACATTAGTAAGGGTGAAATTAAAACACTTTTTCTTGATGAACTTTAAGATTGTGCTTATAGGGTTACAGTAACCTCTGCTCCTTCTCCCAAACACCCTAAAACAATGCCAAACGGGTTTGTAATTAACATAAACCTACAAAAGTAGAGAATAAAATTGGTAACAGAAAAAGATACATACAAAGTTGGAAAGCATACTGCTCAGTGAAAACCAGCTTGGCACACCTGAGAAACTGACCTGAGTCACAGATGCACACACTCCCCCACCTAGAGCCTGGGAACTGGCGGTACCTCTTTCCTTTGGAGCTGAGGTAAGGGTCAATAGAGAAGGGGGATGGGTTGAAAATTTGTTTAAGGAACAGTTAGATCACAGATTTCTTCCCCATTTCCTATGGTAGGGACTGCCTCCCCCACACTCTGGCAGAGGATAAAGTAGAAAATCTCTGCACTGAGATACAGAAAGCAAGGTTGAGAATAGTGTGTTGTATTGAAAACAGGAGGATGACATGAAGTCTTTGCTCAACAGTGAGATATCAGCTTCCTAGATTACTGGCAGCTAAGCTCTTGCCTCCTAGTCAAGACACTATAACAATTTTCATTTTAATATTTTATTTATTAAGTTTATTTTCTGTTTGTGAATGTATTTATTGCCTGCATGTGTATTAAGTGCACCTGTGTCATGCAATGCCTGAGGAGGTCAGAAGAGGGTATAGGATCCCTTGGAACTGGAGTTAAGGATGGTTGTTAGCTGCCATGTGGGTGCTGGGAATCAAACCTGGGTTCTCTGCAAGAGCAGTCAGTGCTCTTAACCACTGAGCATCTCTCCAGCCCAACATACTATAAGAATTTTCATTTGGCAGTTTGAGCATCAAAAGGGAAACACTGGAAGACACTGTTCTTGAGGGTCTCCGGACCCAAAAGCCCTGTCAGATCCCTAAACACAGAGCCATAAAGGATAAACGCTTCTCAAGGGACAGAGCTTCCTTTCCCCGGGCTTCTCATAAATATGAGCGGCAGCATAGAGACTACATCTGTGGCAAGCTTCCAGCATCAAGAGAGGTAAAAGCAAGTAAACAGAGAAAGAATCTTGAAGGAAACAATCCTGTAGGGAGAAGAAACTTAAAAATTACCATTCAGCCGGGTGTGGTGGCGCACGCCTGTAGTCCCAGCACTTGGGAGGCAGAGGCAGGTGGATCTCTGTGAGTTCGTCAGCCTGGTCTACATAGTGAGTTACAGGACAGCTGGGGCCCCAGGGAGACCCTGCTTCAAAAAGAAAAAAAAATTACCATTCAAAGAAAATGGAAGAAAAATGTTATATATATGAAACAGAAACAGGATGCCATTAAAAAGGAATATGCAGAGGAAAAAACAACAAAACACAAAACAAAGTTGAGAGCATATTGAAAAATTCAAAAAGTGAAATTGTAGGGATTGGAGAGATGGCTCAGCAGTTAAGAGCACTGGCTCCTCTTACAGCAGATCCGGGTTCAATTCCCAGCATCCACATGGCGGCTAACAACTATCCATAATTCTAGTCCCAGGGGAATC